GGGATAGAAGGGCTGTGGTTTAAGTGTCAGGAGGGGGTGGCAGGGACCTGACTCTTCTGCAGATCCAGGGGGTCAAGGGCTGGATATGTTGAGTGTGCCTCGCTCCAGCAGGCACAGCTTCTGGGAAGGGCAGGAAGGCCTGGGGCTGTTCCCAGCTGTGCGGCAGATGCTGAGACGAGACCTTGTCCTGGGGCGACACAGGTTGGGCAGCAGACGAGGAAGGCTCCTGCATGGTTGGACGGCTTGCGTGAGTCCAGTGATCCTGGCAGGGACACGGAGGACCTTGCCACTCGGTTTCTGGTCTGCACCACCTTGAAGGCAGATGGCCCATGTGTGGAGTTCTGCTTCTTCCTCTGGGGCTCCGGGACCTCCAAGGAGAGCGGTGTGTCCGACTTCCTATTGCCTGCCTGGCAACTCCTGCGGGGCGACCCCGGGGTGTCCGCGTCAGAGGTCCCAGGCTGACCACTGGCAGGGGGCACTTGGGGAGGCTGGCTGGGCGCTCGGGGCCGCTCACTTCGACTCTCAGCGGGGTGCGTCGGGGAAGATCTGGGTCGAGGGCGCGCCCCAGCCGGCTCCTCCGGGGACTGCGGGGCGCCCAGGGCGAAGGCGGCCTGCAGAGGGCGGGGCAGTTCAGCGGCGGTGCCCCCCGCCGGCTCGTGGCTCTCCAACGGAAGAGCGCTCCTGTCCTCACTGCTGCGGGGAACCCACTGCGCCTTCTCTTCTTGTCCAGCGCCAGGCAGCGAGTCCGGCAGGCTCGAGCCAGGAAGGTAGCCTACCTCAGAGCTGCATCCCGGCCGCATTTTAAGTGAAACAGTAGAGTCAAATTTTTGTTCCTTTGGATGTCTTTAGATAAAAGATGTTCAAATACCCTTTCTATTCTTTTATAAATTTCTAATTTTATATTTTGACTCAAAAATAAAAATGTTAGTGAACAGACCTCAATTCGTTTTTAAAGTACTGGAATTCACATGAAACCTTTTGTAGCTATTTATGAAACACTCTCATACTAAGCGCTAGAAATAGGCGTTTTGTCCATGTGATATGAAAAATCTACCTCCCTCCACCCCCAAAAAAGACGAAGCTGGGCGCGATAACACCGATAGTCCCAGCTCTGGAGACTGAGGTTGGGTGACACCAGAGCTCAGGAGCTCGAGGCCAGCCTGGGCATGCAGAAAAGGCCCCGACAAAGGTAAACTGAACGACCTGCGGTGTCCCCGCTGGAACCCACCAACAATGGGCTTTGTAAAATGGCCCCACAACCTTGTCGTTAGGGCTGGAGTATTTTTAAACGTTATATATGAAGTGAAATGATATATGAGATTGAG